GAGGACATAGCTGAAAACATAGGTTGATTGAAATAGAGAGTGAAAGGGGAGGACAGAGTTAAAGATAGGGTGAGGTGTGGTGGGAGGCTCCACGGGGCAGGAAGGCAGAAGAAGGCAGGCAGGGCTCCCATAATGAGTGTGTGGTTATTGATTGTATTGTCAGGGTGGCTGACCAGGGTCCTGTGTGCTATGGGCCCCAGTCCATCTGTGGACAATGCAGTCAGTTACACCTCACTGCTCCGTCTAATAAAGAACAGGCAGATTGATGTCACCAGTATGGTTGAACTCTACCTAACACTCACCAGCACCACTCAGCACACACACACACACACACACAGGCACACACAGGCACACGTGTAAAGTGGGACAGTTGTGAAGCAGTGAAACCATTCTTATTTCCTTTCCTGACAGAGCAAACTTATAGGAACTGTGGTTTAAAGTTAATATCATGCTTAAAATATATAATGCAGGGCAGCAAATAACAATTATTGTCATTATCAATTAAATGTGTCAATTATTTGACAGTTCAGTTTATTCATTTAGTCTATAAAATGTCATAAAATAGTGAAAACAACTGTGACAGTTTCCCAGAGAATTGTTTATTAACAGGTTAGTTCATTTACACTGATACTAAACAGGAAAATTATCATATTTGAAAATCTGGAATGTAATGAATTCTTGATAAATTACATAAGTACATAAGTAATAGTTGATTCATTTTTTTTTAAATTTATTAATAACTTGATGAACTCATGGTTTCAGCACTAATATAATACCAAAGGCATTTGACAAAAATGTGATTGTGTGTGCTTTTTTTCAGCAGGTCTAGCAATCACTGAATGATTCCACACATCTCCACTCAGGTACATTTTGCATTACACACATTGATTGTGAAAGACAGTAATAAATTACTGATAAATTAATTTACTCTAGCTTTTTAAGATTTAAAAAATACTTAGATCCAGACTTATTCTCATGCACAGAAACACACACACATTAATAGTTTGTGTGAAACAAAAACAAGTGCAGTCTCACAAGAGATCTTTATGTGCATCTCATTTTGGGAACCCTGCACTCTATCAGTCAAGTACACCGAGAACACACCGTTTTTAGCACCAGCCAACATATCAGCAGCACATGTCATTCTCAGCTAACTGACTAATGGTGTATTGGGTCAGGACCTTTATATAAATGATGGAACAACAGCAGTCATAATGAAGGCTCTGTGTTCTGCTCCTTAAAGTTTCCTCCTTTAGAAGGAAGTCAGCCCCTCCACCTGAACATTTGGCTGCACTCAAGCCCCGTAGCCTCTGTGGCAGGAGCACGAGCGATTACTCCTGCGCAGCCAGCCAAAACACAAAAATCAATAAACAATCTCAACGTTTCTGAGGGCCTTTCGTCTGACTTAATAAATGTCTCAATCCACTGTTATGACTTCATTTTGCTTTAACGTCTTCTTCATGTGCATCTTTTGCCGATCAATTAGAGAATGGAGTGCCCCTCCTGTCACGACACATGCCCTCCATCAGCTGCTGCAGCACACACACAAACACACACACACACACACACACACATCTCAGGCCCAAGCACAAGGTGAACTGCTATTTTAATCCTTGAAATTAGATACTTTTTGAAACCACTCACTTAAATGGCTCATTAGAGGCCACGCCATCCACTCCTTTCAGATTGTTCTATATCTCATGTCTCTTGTGTTAGGTCATTTTATCATGTCCCAATTTGAGATAAAAATGATTTTTCTAGATAAAGATGTTTGCCAGTTTTACATATAGCTCCGATAGAAATCCCACGGAGCAGCGAGGTGCTCAGGTCCAGCCAAATAACAAGACTTATATGGCGTCTAAGTGTGCAGGAGAGGCACCATTTCCAGGCTGTCAGTGGCGACCACAGCATCTCTCTCTTTAGGCTGCTTCTGCTGTCACAGGCCTTAATCCTGGAGCTGCGGGGATGACAGGTGAGTGGTGCCAGAGCCCCTGGTCTGTGACTAGAAGCTCCTGGAGAATTTCACGCGCACCCCTCTCTTGTCTCCCATCGATTCTGCCACTTCCCATTATTGTCAATCAGAGAGGCATCGTCTCCACGGGAAGAGCTGTGCAGCAGGCGATTGCCAGGGCAGCGGGGTGCGGAGAGCAGCAAGCTGCACGCCTGCCAGCCACTACACCAGCACGGGGCCACCAGGGGCCCCTCTCAAGAGGCTGCCTGGGCAGGATGCCACAACTAAAACTGAAACCTTTTGCTTTACAACACATAATGCACATGGCTGAGAAGCACTGGGGGTGAAACCTCCAGAGCTGCTTTGTGTTGACAAAAGGAGCAGCTGAGGCCCCCGCTGCAAACATAGTTTCACAGGGCTGTCAGCAGGAAAGCAATGCTGCTCTCTCAGTCGTGACCGCCTTGTTAGAAAAATGACATAATAACAATGACAGGAATAATGGAACAGAAGTGAAGCACTGTTCTGCAGGTTAAGGAGGGTTTGGGAGGTGGCTGCTCCATAAGTGATCTTCCAGTGTGGTCACGTCCCCTGTTGGCTCCTGACCCTGAGTGGGCCGGCGGCGTGGTGCCGTGCAGGCGTTCTGGTCAGGTAAGGCAACCATGCGGCTGCTATAAGCCCTGGAGATTGATGGGAGTGGTGCCCTTCCTCCCTGCGCTGTAAAAGATTATCCGCTCACCCGCTGGAAACAAAGCTGTGATGGAAATTCGTCTCGCATCATCAGCAACAAAATATCTACACGCCGAAGCGGGAGTCTCTCATTTTTCATGGGCTATATATTAAATAAAAAAGGCATTAAAGAAAAAGGGAAGGGGGTGGTCTGAGTGATAGCACTAGTTAGTATTTTTTTTTTTAAATGGGCCACTTGAATCAGGGAGATTATACGGTTTTTATTGGCTGTCAGGAAACACAACTTTCTGCGTACTTCACCCGCTGAAGCTCGTAACGCTCTGATTAGAATGCCAGCAGAAATGAAAAGGGATGGTGCTGGGGTAAAGACACAGGAGGAGCAGCAGGACAAGCACAGATGCCCTGGAATCTGCTCTCCCTCAAATACACAAGAGGAGGACCAACACATACACGCCAATAAAGCACAAGTGAACAAACAGGCCACGCACACACACATGCTTCAGATAGAATTTATACACCAAGTTTCACAGTCAGATCTGGTGTCGAAGGCTGAGCCGTGCCTATTCTGAACTGGATACATGAGACACATCAAGCGGAGTGTTATCTCTCGCTAAGTGAATATTGCATTCAGCTGATATGTGATATTTGAATTTCCCATTAGGTGGGGGCTATGTGTCAGAGTGAAAAAGCTCAGTGATGCTTGCTCATTTCAGAGCAGGCAGTGAATGGAAACCTTGCTTCACAGTTGCAGTGTGTCATAGTGGTGATAAGGATGAAGTGATGGAGGGGGACTCCTGGGGTGGGGGGGGGTTGACTAGTAAGAAAACTGACTGCTGTTACTCACAGGGTCACCTACACAGGAGCACACAAGTCAGTTTGAAGACTAACTATCATTTAGTAGAAACTTAACCTGCATCGCAGTGATCTTCTCCAGTGGTTTAGAAGTGTTTTTTAAAAGGCAGAACTGATAACCTCACGAGTAAAGCAGCAGATTGAAATCGGTCATTATATCGACTTGAGAGACTCCAGTCTGTTCACGTCTGTCAGCTTGTTCAAACTTAGCTTTCAATTTCCCATAGCGGAGGGAGAGTAAGAGAGGGTAACATCAAACTCCAAAACATGACAGAGCCGGCTCTTTCTGACGAGAGGAAGCCATTGATTTTTCCTCCATTTCACCATCAATCTGGTGGAGAAGAGGTGGCTGTGGGTGCTCAGACAGCTGATGATGTGATTTGTAACCGTGGACCACCGGTGAGCAGAGAGAATTGCTCTGACTCTCAACACGTGGCAAAGTGACTACCACCGTCTTCAGCATTCAGCCACAAGATTAACAGTGGGGGATCTACTGATAATCTCCATCGGCCGAGGGAGTATTTTCTCTATCCGCCACACTGCAGCCACACTGACATTTGTATTCAACAGGACCACTGTCAAATGTTATGGGGCTTGTGTCACTCCAGCGGCAGCTCTACGGAGATGTCTAGTTCTGTCTATCCAGCTCTTTGGTCCAGACTGAAATATTTCAACAACTACTGGAGGATTTTCATGACATCTTGATCCCCTGTGGATAATTCCAAAAGACTTTTCCTCTAGCACCACCGTGAGGTTTTAAATTTGTGGTTTTGAATGAAATGTCTCAACAGCTATTGGTTGGATTTCATTGGTGAACCTAGCACATCATCTAACAACAAACTAATGACATTCTCATCAGGCCCAGCCGTACTTTTTGTTTAGTGCAAATAGAAATGTGCGCATGCTTACCAGTAAATATGGTAAACATTATATCTGCCTAAAGCGATATAATGTAAGAACTGGTATTTTTTGCTATTCAGCTTCCTCCATCAATGGCCTTTTCTGCCATTATGTTCACCCTATTACAAGTTAGCATTGCATCAAAAGGATTTTGAAGCAGTCATTTTAAGGTAGAATAATTACATAATTTTGCTTTGATATGAGAATGTTAACTTTGCCATTGCAAGCATGCTAGCATGCTGAGGATAGCATTTAACTCAGAGCACCACCTTGCCTAAGCCTCACAGAGTCACCAGCATTTATCAGGAGTTTCTTGATAAATTACTTGTATGATTGATCAATGACTAACATATTTAATGATTAATTTTGTCGCTTCACTGATTGATTAATCAGCTATTGTTTTATTATTAATAAATGTAATATCTTTATGGGGGCAACAGCATATCTACAAAACTGCTAGATAAAACAAAAATGATTTCAGGCCTCCAGGTTCTTGTGTGTTTACGATGCACACCATGTAGTGTAACCACGACATTCCCGGTTCAATGCCAGCCAGAACCTTTGTCTCATGTTATCACTATCAAATAAAAGAAACATATGCATATGTAAGTCAGTGTTTCACACAATCAATATTACTCATTTATTGCACACACATTTAGCATTTGAAATAAATAGATACTGCAGGTTGTTTTTTATAAATACTCATGACACAGAGGAATGATTATAACACCAATGACACTAAGGCAAAACATTACATCGTCTTTAAAAAAAAAAATCCATTCTTATCATTATATCATGAAAATACACAAATTACCTAAATATAACTAGAACTTTTTATCCATAATAGTCCATAATGATGTTCATACAGAGTTTATTCAAAAGCAGTTATTTTGACATAACACCAGGTGATCATAGAAAACAAGCTACTGCATAAACGCTGCACTGCAGGTTTGATTTAATTTCACCATTGTAATGTCTCTCTAACATCTAGTGACACCGTGCAGGCTTTCTAAGGGAGGAGTAATCCTCTTTAGATCATTTGCAAAGCAATTAGGCATGCCTCCACTGCTATTAAATATAAAGATAACAGCCTATGAGATAAGATGCTATTTGTACTACGTATCAAATGTGGATAGCTGCCTAAGAGCCCTGATAGCAGGGAGATATATTTAAATCCTTGTAAATGAAATTAAAAAACACAACGTATAAAATTAGAGACACATATCTACTCTACTATCTATGATGAAACTGAATTTATGAATATTATGTCCTCAGACCTAAATCCTCAATTAATAGACCTATAATTATGCATCACATCATAAATACTACACATTTTATACAGTGCAATCACTTTAAATGCATGGCTTCGTGGATAATATCAACTCTGACATTCCATTGAACAAGGCAAATATATAAATACTTTTAGCTGCCACAAAAACATGAGATAATGTAAAATATATTGATCATTGATGCTAGTGCAGCATCACCGAGATTTGACAGTCCACAGGAAACCCTGACCACACAAGGTTGGATTTCATTGAGAGAAGGGTGCCAAGATCAAACTGGATCACTTTTGAAACCCAAAGTGAGTTGAACTATAGTGACTCGCAACATGCATTTGTCAGCAGGAACCAGAGAGCCTCTTTTGCATGTGTTTCTATCATCCCTACACACTACACAGCAAGAATAAACGCCTCTGAGAAGAAAGGTGCCAAAAAAAAGCAGAAGCAAAATTCCCCAGTGACCTGTGACCCGGGGACCAATAGGGTTGCCCTGCATGCATACAGAGGAGGTTCAAACAGAGTTTATGACTGCATTATCTCCCCTCTTCCTCATCACCTCTCCACCCATCAGTGGACACTAGAAGCCACTACGCTAAAGCAGACAGACCAGGCATCACTCATTCACTCACCTCCTAGGTGCCTTTGTCAGGTGATTGCTGGCGGAAAAAGGAAAACAGATCAATACATCTCCCATGGGCCTGACAGGTAATCTTTACCTGGGATGAAATATGAGCGGTACCAGCCTGCTGGATTCCTTAACTGTAACAGGGCAATTGACTGGCTGCACGGAAGCCATTCCTCCACTTCCTGGCCATTGGAAAATCATTTTGGGGCATACTGTCTGGCTGAGTTGTCATTATGGTGACTGCTAATTACCAGAGGCAGGTGAGGTGTTTCCCCTCCTGCTACTAATGAAACTGTATCTGAACTGATGCGTCTTCCTTCCCTGTCAATGCCTTGGCACCAAAACACAGACTGACGGATAAGGCGACGGCGAGAAGCTCTCCTTAAAACACTACACAGTCAATACTTGTCAGCGTGTTCAGGGGCATATGTCTTGAAGAAGCCACCGATGTATTTATCAAAAGCTTCTTTTTTTCTAATTACAAAGCTCAACTATTGTGCCATTCCTATCAATCAGGTGTGTAGAGCCCACGGTGCTGCTGGTCAATGGACGTAGCCTGGGGGGTGGGGTGCTCTCTGTCTCAACACTTTGACTGATTCCTGTGGCAGGATGTCTTGTGTGAGGCATCCATTTAGACGAGTGTGCACACACAGCATTTATAAATGTCATCCCTGGCCAACATGATCACATAAAGCCTTCTCAGACGGATTATTGCAGACGTATAACTCACGTTAATTGGCAAATCTCATTCTACTAAATGCGATTCTTCTCTTAAATAAGGCTTTTAAGTGTCTGGGAAGACATGTAGAATGTAGCTGATAATATTCAGTTCATTTCACTAAAAAGGTATCTTATAATCATTATAGAAAGTGCACATCTGTGCCTTTTAGTGCTGGGAAGATTTCAGATATATTTTTCTTCTTTCGCAGACATGAAACTTTTGCACACAGCTAACTAACTAATTCACTTCGTCTTGAAAAGGAAACTTTTCAGCAGAGATTATTTGATTGAGTACAGGTGCACGTATTTGTGTTGTTAAACACTGCAAACCTATATGGTTTAAGTCAAGCCGAATGTACTTCACTTGACTCTTATATAAAAATGCATTTTTCTGAATATACTGCTTGTTTACCAGCTTGGCGAGAACTGTTGTGTTTGATCACAATGTATGCTGCCATTGATCTTTTAATGCATCAGATGCACAGGGAGCCAGGATAATGTATACCCCAAGGGTAGGTGAAAAAAAACGGTACGACTTTCCTCTCCTGTCTGCAACAGCTCTTCCGACTCCTTTCTGCTGGCTCTCATATACTCTCCGCACGGCCGCAAAAGCAACTAATCCACCACTACTGAAAAACAAGCTGTTCAAACAGATTTGCAGCTGGCCTTAAATACATTTGGGGACATTTGAATATGGAAGGTAAGCTGAAGAGAACAGAGGCGGCCCTCCTAGGACCGCGACTACACTCCCCCTGTGTTGTGCTAATGAGCACCTTTGTACAAACTGTAGCTTTTCAAATCCATGCTAATAGGAGGCCTGTACTTTGTGGGGCTCTCTACCGGTGGTCGCCTCTCTGAACCCTGTAGCAGCATGTGGTAGCTAAACATTCTGATGCTCTCCTGTGTTGGCGATAGCTACTGTACGTGCTGCTGCACAGCCATTGTTGGCTGCTGTAAAGTAGAGCTGACTCCCCGCCCCTGCCGCCCAGCCTCACCTGACCATCCTCCCAGTGTTCCCGCTGACAAACGCTGCGCTACTAGAGTGGACATAATTACTGGATTGTGTGTTAGCAGGTGGCCTGGAGACTGTGTGTGGAAACAGGAGGAGCCGTCGAGTCTTGAGTCAAACGAGGAGCCTCTTGAAGCTGCTTTCTTCCTTGAGGAGATGGCAGAAGGCTTAACAAGGCTTGATTGCATTAACATTTGTCATGCTTAATATACTACCTGGAAAGAGTGGATGTAGCAGTAACATGCTGATTTGAGGAGTAATGATGTGCTTTGTATTTTTTCTTTGTCTTCCAGTTTGTTCAGCAAGAGGAGTTTTAGCCTTTTCACTCTCTGGCACAATAGCTTTTCTTTTGGCACGCTCTTCAAGACTTATGTGTGGTTGTCCAGCCCCGTTCAGGTGTCCTCATGGTCCTCCCTTGAGGAAGGATGAACTCTGAGGCTGAGCAGAAGTAGAGGACTGTGAACGTGGTGCCTCTAAGACTGAGGTGGTACTGTCTCCCTGTGCCTTTTCTCTCTGGTGATCCTTGTGAAATGGGTTGCTAGCTGCAGAGACAAAGAAGGCACATATCATATTCTGGGCATGTAACACAACACTGAGAACAAACAGTAAAAGATACTCAGATAAATCACATTTTCCTTGACTGTTTCAACGGACAGCCGCTCAAATAAAAATTAAATTTAGTCCAAGGCTCCTGGATCGCTCGCTGCTTTAGGTATATTAAAATAAAACTTTGAAGCAATCCTCTTCTAATAGGTTAAATATTAATGAGGTTTTGGTCAAGTGAGCCAAATCCAATTTGGCCCCATATGACTTGTGGACATGGTTATTAAAAGGCCAATCTGTGCTGCTCCTATGGCTTAACTTCCCCCCTCCGGTTATGCTGTGTAAGAAGCTGTATGTTTCTAACTCCATTCATCACACGTTCACATCCCACTGACTACCTTACTTTTTAAAGATCCTCTTTCTCTCGATCTCGCTCACCTTTAAAGCTTTTTGTCTCTGGGAGTGAAGGGAAATATTTGAAAGAGAACTGGGGCCAATTTTTGCGGAAGACAGAGGAACTCTAAAACAATTGCGCTCCCTAACATGCTTGATAAATAAATCTTTCCTGATCTCCCCCCAGAAAAGTTAGCGGCGGTCACACAAGATGTTTGCGAGGCAGTCCCAGAGCAGAGGACAAGGGAACTAGAAGTGACATTGTGGCTCTGGGCTGTCTCAAAGGATTAGGCATTACAGCATTCACTGGCATGTGCTTTTGCTCGTTCCCATTATATCTGCTTGTGCCTCTTTCCAGATGACTTCTTCCCCAAACTGATCCGGCGGGCAAGATAATTGATTAATATTTCTTGAGGGAACGATGACTAACCGTTGCTGAGGTTCAACCCAAACACTTGGGTTAAAAATAGTCAAAGGCCTCGATCGAAATTCTGGTTTTTTTCATATTTGACAGATACGCAGAAATGGCTGGGAACATTTAGTTTGTGAGTGTGTTAACATGCACAGGGGCATACCAGATACTAGCCTCTATCCTAGGTCAAGGTCAGAGGATAAGCTGTTTTTATAAGCATATTTTTATATTGTGATCGAGAGAACCGATATTTAAATGAACTAATTAAATATTATGACACCAATCCAGGCTGTACTAATTTAAGGAAAGTGACATTATTCCAGTTAATCACCAGTATTAATGTTTCTCGTGATTAGCTCATTGAATGGCGAAGAACTACTCAAATCCTTTACTCATGTGAAAGTACATCATGAAATTGAGGATTTTTAAAACTATTAAAAATGTTCCATTACAAGTAAAAGTCCTGCATTCAAGATCCCATTTCAGTAAAAGTATATAGTATTATCAACCAAATGAATGTACATATCAAATACTCATTCTGCAGAAAGATGGCCCTTGTGACTGATATATTTGTTAAATATCCAATTATTACCTTCTTAATACTGTTGCATCAATGATCATGTAGCAATTTACTGTCTTAACAGGTCGAGATATAAATAGTTTATATAGAGTTAGGTAGTTTAGTCCAGTTGTCCCCAACCTACAGTAGGAGTAAGGGCCACAAAATAAATCTGTTCTGAAACACAAATATGTATTATTTTTTCAGACTTTTCTCTCAACTTTGATTTCTTGTCAAATATAATTAGAATATATAATTACACCTCTTTGGGCCTCAAACCATCTGAGAAGTTTAGAGGGGAAATACCACTTTGGTGGAACTGCTAACAACTAATAGACATCTGAAACATGACAAAGGGCCCCAACCAACCAGACACTGGTGGAGTCACAAGGCAAACCACTGGTTTAATATTTAACAGTACCATGTATTTTAAAAAGTTAGCATGTTTTTGTATGTAAAATCTTCATCTGGAAAGTTACTAGTAACCGTAGCTGTCAGATAAAAGTACAATATTTCCCTCTGAGAAGTATAAAGTAGCAGAAAATGGAAATACTAGTACCTCAAAAGCACAGCACTTGAGCATACTTAGTTACTTTCCACCACTGACCTACGTAGGTAACATGCACATACAATAACTCAATACATTTATAGCGTATTTATATATTAATGTACAAGATAATTTCAAAATGACAAACTACTTTTTATTCAACTGCTTAAATAAAAGATACACTCAACTGGTTTTACATCAAGGTCAATAAAGACATTACAACGCAAAGGTTTTCTGTCAATGGGAGAATTACAGTACATGCATTTATTGTGGGTGATAATGGGAGGTTGAATGGAACCATCTTACCATCTTAATAAGCTCTCATGTGATGCTCTCTAAAAACAATCATTACAGGCCTTCCTGGAGCACTCCCCTTCCCCCTGTTTATTAATCAGCTAATTACACATTGACAGTAATGGGCCTGCTGATTCCCACACTTAAATGAACAGGGCTGAATAGCTCTTTAATGATTAGCCTTTGTGTTTCTCTCTTCTGTTCGCTCTCCTTCTCTCTCTAATGCACATACACACGCACACACACACACAATTCTTTTCACAATTGAAAAAATAGGACATTCAAATCAGACCTCCTGGCGAAAGGGTTTGCACACAAACGAGTCGAGAAGCACCTGACAGACTGAGCTGCTAAAAACAAATCTGTCTCCACAAACAGAAAACAATTACAGTGGTTACAAAGGCAGCAGGTTCACGGTTACACTATGTCAACTTGTGTGGGCTTCAGTGTTAAGCTCAGCCTCCAGCAACAGCACCACCATGAAAGTTTGGTGGAGCAGTGCAGGCAGGTGCAGGTGGAGACGGAGGAGACGGGGGGTTTTTTGAAGGACGCGAGCAGGGTGCGGAGTGGAGCCGGAGAGGGCGAAATAGTGCGGTGGGCTGCATTTCTGTCAGCAGAAGTGATGGCTGAGTGGTAGCGTTATTTGTCTTGTGCTGCCATACGGCCCTCGCACCAGCCTGGGCATTAATGAGAGGGGGCCGGACCGCCGGGCAGGAACACGGCGGGCCTCCAACGCAGGTGATCTGTCACGCAGCCGTCTTGCTCGGGCAAGGAGACACACGAAGACAGAGAGGAGAGGAGGAGAGGCGGCAGGGCTGACCGAGGGGCTGGCCTCAACATGGGCACCCACATGTGGCACTTTCTAACATATAGAGATAACGCGCCTGATGAGGTCAATCAAACTGACTTCAACCCTGCCTATTTACTCTAACTCTTCCTGAAATGTAGCACGCTGAATAAGTTCAGGTTTGGGTTTATCACCATCATCCTTTTATAGAGATAAAGATGAAGGGCATTATGGGAGACAGCAGGGGAGGAGTGAAATTGCAATAATTAATTAGTCTGTGTGTGAAACCAGCCAAGGCTATTAAAATCCATCAGGATCTTTACACTTACTGATTCATCTTTGCCTTACGATTAACTCTCCCAAATTTGTGAAGGGTGCAGAATGTTATCATTTTCATTCTCCGTCACTGGGCAACATGGTGATTTTCTCTAATTCAGTCATTGCAGAGTACAAATATCAATATTAGTAGAAATTGTGCAAAGCCAAAATAAATCTAGCTGTCACCATTTCTATCTGTATTTTTAATAATACTTGATAACATATAACAGAGAACTCTATATCTGTTAAGGACTTGTTGGATTGAGTTGGATTGTTGGATTGTTGGATTGATGGTGGTGTGAAAAGTAGAAAATGGCCAATTTAAGGCTGAGAAATGGAGTGGTCATCTAATCCAAACAGATACCTGGCTTGATAAGTTGTTGTGTGTGTTTTTTTTCACAACCAGCTTCAGCACTGTCGTGGAAGTGCTAAAAGGGTAAAGAAAGAAGACAAAGCAACAGCTGGGTACCGCCTCAGTAATTCCCACCGGAGCCCTGGAAGACACCTCCAGCCACAGACCATTTTCACTCCTGATTACAGAGTTTAAAATCAACCACTAACACATACAACAATCCACTTCCTCTGGCCAACTCAAACAAAGACTCGGCTGTCGTGTTCACTAAGAGCAACACGGGGGAGCCCACGCCATTCTTTCTACTAAATGCAGTAAACAATCTTTCCATGCAAACAAGATGTTTACCAGAAAACAACTCCACTCAACAAATCACTGAATCTGATTTTGTCTCTGTACACATTTATGCCAGAATGGCAACAAACCAAGATTTGTACACAGAGAGTGTGAAAGCTTGTCAGAGTAAATGTGCATCTCCTGGCGGTGGTGAGATTACTGAGGAGAGACATGGTGCAGCAGGCTGCCAAAGTAAAGATTTATACAGAGCAGTTGCAGCTGCAGAAACTGACATTGGACGACATGGGATGCATGATAAATCATGGTGGACAGGGGGCACTAGACTCAAGAAGCAGGAAAATACTCTGAACCGGGCTGAGGGGGGAAGTGCCAATCAGGGACTCTCCTTCTATGCAATTTAGAAAAAAGATAATCTTTTAGTCACTTACTCCAAAACACACACAATATTATTACCAAGAGTACATTGCAGTATCTCCACTCCACATAATACACAGTGATACTTTCCTATTTGTAAGATTTTACCAGACATATTTCCTCCCTTAAGCTTTTTACAACAGATAGTGGGGTCTGTTAACTGTCGAGAAACTGAGGGATGCCCCTCGTTCCGCATGTTGAATATGAGGGGTCCTTAAGGGCCAGGGGTGAATCCTTTTTTACTTTTATGGGAAGTGGTTGAGCGCTGGAGAGGTGAAGGACAGAGTTGCCGGCCGTTCCATCACTCAATGCAATAAATGGATGCAATCTGTATCCGAGTAAAGCATTGGCTGTTTTTAAATTCCACCTCTTTTATCCAAATGAATGATGGACCCCGGTACAGTGCACTGTGCAGCAATATTAATATACATCAGAGGCCTGCACCTCTCACTAAATCAGGAAACCACCAGCATTTGTTATTTAAATGACAAACAGCAGTTGCAGGAGTGGAGCACGGAGAGGGGACACAGAGGAAAAGGTGGATAAACCAATTCAGATTTCAATCCGGCAAAGACACAAGGCCCGGAGCCATGACTCTAATGAAAAAAGGCAGCTCCACTGGTCCAAACAGACACAACGGCTGCTACTCGGTGCCATCTCCAATATGGTGGACTCCACATCACACATCTCTTCTTCTTTTGTTTGAAACAGAAAGCTCCAAACGTAACACAGCGATCAGGTCTAACTGTTCCGTTCCCTCTGCTGTCAACTCACCAAATATTTTCTGTAATTTTGGTGGAATTACAAAAATATATTAACAAATCTGCAGCCATCCTAGCTCTGCTAACTAGGCTCTGTGAGGTTGTCCACTGGTTCTCAAACTTTTTCTGTCATGCCAAAAAATGTGTGCCTCCATTTCATTTTTATCAATCATTAACAATAATTTATTGATAAATGAACCAAGTTGAATTTTAAGATACAGGTTAGCAAGATAGCCATCAGAGCACTTTTGTTTGTTTATGTCACCACAGTAACCATTTTCATACAGCTTAACATTCTTCATTAACCCTCCTTCAGGGTATCCTGCTGTGCCAGGGATAGAAAAGAATTGATCGTATCATGATAAAAATATCATGATAAATGATTATTTTGGGATGGTCGCTGTCTGGATGCCTGGACAAAGCGACAGGGGCAAGGCTCTCTGTCTCAAAGTGAGGGTGGTTTGAATTAGTTTAAGGTTGCATAACCTCCTCACTGCCTTCTCACACGTGTATGTGATTATAATGGAATCTTTCCTTGGTATTTTATGCCAAGCATCACTTTAAAATATTTTTTATTTATGTGACGATCAGCATTTATTTTGGGGCGGTTTAAATTGTTTATTGTGACGGTTTTGGATGGTGGTGAAAAAGTACAGCTGAGCCTGGTTTTGACCATAGTTTTGGATCATTAAAAAAATTCTGATCTGATTGGGGTGCCAAATGTAATTGTAATCACCAAAATTATTACAATTCATCTTGAGGGGGGCATGAATGTCTTGACCAAATTCCTTAGCAATTCTTTCAACAGTTGTGGAGATATTTGATACCATACCATGATGTTCTGTTTACAATTTCAGGTTTTTACACCACATAAATTAGCCCATAAGCTCTCTCTTTGAGATATGTAACATTCTGAATCTGCAGGTTTAATCCTGTATGTAACAACAAAACACCTCCAATAATGATGTGAGTGGGAAGGAATCCAAAGATTCATCAGTATGTGTGGAGGGTGTTACCTGATGTTGTGGATACAGCCTCTGTTTCCCTCCTCCTCCCAGAGTCTCCTATGCATAACATAGCCAGAGTGACGTTAGTCTGCCTGGGGAGGACACAGCCAGAGAGAACCAGCATTACTCACAACAATACACACATATACATGTAGAAATTTTATAATTTCACAAAAGTCAATAAATGCAAGCAACGCACATTTGCTGCCTGCATTTGGCCTCAGTACGGTGCATATTTTGCCACATCTTAATTTTTCTTCATTAATACATATTTTCACCGGAGAAAATATTCGATGAGGGAAGGTTCATGTGGCTGAGTCATTGCAGAGTTCACATAAACAAATTACACCTGCTCTATGCCTCATGTGTCATATGTCAGGAGCCCTGAAATAGGAAAAGCCCCCCCGCCACACCACCAGCTTAATAGCCCTGACTTCGGAGATGTAAAGTTAAGGTCAAGGTCCGTTCCATCGTGGGTGGGTGGGGGGGCAGCTGATGTGGTAGGATTAGTGTGTTATGTTTGTTGTGCTGGAGGAGGGGCGGGGGGCAGATTGAGTGAAAGGAGTGTGTAGTGGGCTACAATGAAATAAAGACAGAAAAAAAGGATGAAAAGTTTGAATATTCTGCATCTCAGGGAGGATTTAAGGAACAATATAGCGTGCTGTTTGAAAAATGCCAATAAACACAACCTGTAGGAATGAATTGATCACAGATTGCAAAGGAGGTTCGTACAGACGAGAGCTCCTTGTTAACCAGCACGGCTCATCCTGGACTGCAGGCTACATGAAGCTCACAACCCTTACAGGCACATGCTACAATAAGGCCCCGTCAGGGCAGCCTTTTAACAGGCAGCGTGTTCCATGACCTCAACACCCATAAATCACATGACGGGTGTGCAGGCACAGGGTGTCGAGAGCTGTGCAGGGCATGCTTTGAGCGAAGTCTCTATGTTGTATAATCAATAGATATAAAAATAAATGGCCTGACCGTTATTCTCTCCCTGCTACCCCTCTCTAATAAAATCCCAGTAATGCATATTTCATTTACTTTTATACTTATTGATTACCTGTACTCCAGTTAGTAAATCACGCGCCTATCGATCCCTCAATCGTACCTCTGTCGGACAGCACATAACCAGCCATTTGCGCCCCTGATAAAGAGCTCAGGCATTGAACTCCCCACAGTAAATCTTTGCAAACTAACTTTTTAATTCCAAAATCGATCCACGTTTAAACGTCGCATTATTTCACGAGGCACGCCTGCGGTATTAAAAGTAATACCCTGATGCATTTGGTCTTAATGTGTGGAGGTCCATCCCTCCATCTCTTCCCTCATTACACCGAGGCCAAGGCACTCCGGGGCCCCTGCAGCCTGGGGGGAGGCTAGGGCCCTCCCCTGCTAGTGAGAGCTGAGAGGCAGAGCCGCTCCGGGGGCCACTAGGAGCCCACTGAGACACTCAGCACAATGCTAATCAAACATGAGAATATCATCAGCTGGCTCATTAACCAAGGCAAAACACCACTGTTCATTTCAGAGCAGAACCCAAAGGCTTTTAATACGCATGTTACACGGCTCAGTGTAAAACTGAGAGAAGTTGTAAAAAATGCACAACACTGTTTTTATTATTTAACATCTGTTACTTCATCAGTTTTAACAGCGTGACAGATGTTGGCCAGTTGTTTTGTCCCTAAATCTACAGAAACAGTGATGAGAAAACAAAGATTGACTTAGAGGCAATGAGCAATGAAAAAGCAAGTCATATGTAATGAAGACGGCCAACAACAACAAAATCAAAGACACAAGGACACTGAGAGAAAAAGTCTCCAAGATAGATTTTTCAGGTCATATGAGACACTTTTAAATGCAGTGCAGTCCCTTAGGGTACAGAGTAAAACAGCACTGACACAGGGTCAATTGTAATTTTGGCGCCCACATCCAAAAGCAAATATATCAATTAAAAATAATAAATCAAAAGACGAGTGAGGAGCTGCAGTTACAAAATGGCCATCTATTTTCATTAGGGTACACGGTGCTTCAGGTGTGAGCAGGATCTCAAGATTAATAGAGGTATTCAAATGAATCAGAAAGGATTAGGGTCTCCAGGGAACATAATCGATAGCTCCAAATCAATAATCAATAGGCCACTCACACCAATATACTAACTGCTGACACCGAGATCTCACAATTAAAATGAAAACTGGGAAGGGAGTGGCGTAAGACTATGATTTATCTCACAGCGCAAGTGTCATTTAGAAATAAATAAGTCAATAGATAAAAGCTGCTGCTGCTTGGCTCAGGTGGGAGGCAGTTATGCATTTTAACGTAGCCACCGGCCCCGAGCATTACAGCCAAATCCCACAAAGCATTGCGCCTATCCACGCGCCGATACAAGGATAAACAGCACGCAACCTCATACAGCCTTTATCACTTAGCATCAAATCTCTGATTGTCGCCGTCAACTCACGCCAAACAGGAGATGACAGCTTTTATTAATACAGTATCATTTCGACCTGGCCACAGTACAAGATTAATGCTTACACTCTGCCCACAGAGAAAACACTTTTCTCTCAAGGGTGTTTGAAAACAAAGAAAAGTCAGATGTATGGGAGCTCAGCGCTAGGAATCGATCACGCTGGGTAAGACTTTCAAAAGAAATTAGTTTGTTAAGAGCGGGCGTGAGCAATTATAGCATTTCTCATTGTCATGCAAAACAATAACTGTAATTGTCCGGTGTTGTGTTTGCATGCGAACGTGTGTTTTGGAGGAAGTTAAAGGAAGTAAATGGGTGCCGTGTGTGCAGAGTCAGGTCGTAAGGACAGAGCAGCCTTCTCACTGGAGAGTGGATTTGAGCAGCTTGGGGAGATAGATTCAGCTCGTGCCGTCCAACGGGACACATCAGAAGCCCCTCTCGTCAATCCCCCCTCTCTCCCTCATTCATTTGGGAGTATGATTTATACTTTTTGAAGTGAAGGGTCTTGAATCCCACTATAAAGGAATTAAGAGGTCTCCCCTGAGTCCGCCATTCAAATGAGAGCATGGCAGGGATATGAGGGCTTTTTAATAGAGAGAAATTAGTATTCACAATGCCTCAAACTGGAATCTGAAGGAACCTTTCAGGTGGAGAAGAAAGGGCCAGTTTAGAAAAGAAAGCCCTAAGAAGTCGGGGGCTTTTCATAGCAGTCGTGTTTTTGCCCCTCATCAAGGAGTGGTGGAGCGCTTTGTGAAATAACCCAAGAGAGTGGGAGGAAGAAGATTGTGTGTGTGAAACAAAATTAAGAATGCACCATAAATAGGCAGAGTGGAAACAATACAATGAGGAGTCCCACAGTCTCGAGGCCAAGGGGGCTAAGCGGCTTCCCAACAGTCCCCCATGCAGATCCAACAATTCTAGGGATGACTGGGAGCGATGAGATGCTTTGACAGACAAACATCTTTTGGATAAACTTTTTTTTTTTGACGATTCTGTGCAGTCCCAGAAATGCAGGGATTTCAATCTGCATTACAACTATGTCAACACATAGTATTTCTCTATTTTGGAACACTGACCTTGAAAACTACTGAACTGAAGTATTACTGCATCTGACTGCAGCTGTCTATTATGGGTTCAACTCAGTCTTCAGGCCAGGATTGACATGAACAATAATTTTCTGTTTGTGGTCCTGGAGACCCCAGGCCCTCATTAACAGCTAAAAAAAAAAACATACGTATCACCTTGTTACTTCATTACTTAATGAGAAATAGTTAAATGTTATTTTAAACTGATGACAAATAAAGGAAAATTCTTCTATTAGGGGTAGAGACTTCAGCTGTTGATGGTGCTTTTGAAGCAGCACTACCCAAAGAGTTTATTTAAATGTATCTTATTGTCAATACTGTCAATGTCAATAATGTGAAACATGAAATATTACCTTATTTGGTGTATTAACAATGCTTTATGATTTTGTCACCATAATGAAATGTGCAAGAGAGAGAGAGAGAGAGAGAGAGAGAGAGAAGGGTTTCTTCAGTTTAATACTCTTTTACAAAATGGGTTTAAATGAGGTTAAAAGAAAAGAAAAAAAATCGGAATAAATGAAGAAAGAATGGTTGATTTAGTAACAACAACCAACAAAATGGGTTAAGATGGATGTGGAAAACACATATTCAAATAAGTGTGTGTATTATCTACCACTCTAGAGAATACGTATAGAGAGTAAATGTATTCGCAACATGAATATTTTAGTCTGGAAACATGCCTTGAATTCACTTATTTATGCAGCAACAATTAACTCCTGTAAGGTCACTCAAACTCACATTTAGGTGTGTGTGCCCCTCCTTTACAACCTAATCTCATTTTGATCGTGAAGAAGAACGGCTGTGACCAAAAACCTGAGATCTGCCCACACACAAACACATTCAAACTCTCTGAGGCATCATTTTAACAAAGATTACTATGGTTAACAGCGACCTATGCTCTGTAACTGATTCATTTAAATAAGTTGGCTATAGACTTCTCCATCAATATATTGATCTTTGATTGAAAAAGGCTGCACAGTGTTTCCAATAGGCCCTTGAGAGGCTGCTTTATTTAACTAACATATGGCATCAACTACCTGTTTCTGCAGATTGAGGAGGAACATCTGAGATGGGAGCTCTCTGACACCATGTCAATAGGACACACTGGTAATGGGCACAAAGGGTTCAACTGGAAATTGAAAGTATCAATAACATTTAGATTTTTGCAATTTCACCATTAAAGTCTGAACAAAACAGGGGCCAAAAAGAGAATTAAGCTTGGAAAAAACTTGTAGTTCAACATACCTGGCTTCGGTCTCGTTTTCCAACAGAAGGCAGCCAGAAGCTAAAAGGAGATGAAGTATAATCACTGATGGAAACAGACAGACTTAATACCACAAAGGTTCTATATATTTTCCTTTTATAAGAGTTTTAATCAGTATATCTTACTCTCTCTGGTAAGGATCTTGGGAGAAGTGTCTCAGTCTCTCTACAAACACTGGCATGCTGTTTCCCTGTAAAACACAAATCCAATATACACAGTTAGAAACTGAGACCATAAAAAATGTGTAACTGTTTTCTACTGAGGTGGAAGATGCCAGTTTGCTTTAACCTTGTTTGGAAGCTGCCTCCTGTCCTTTCTGATGCAGCAGGCAGCAGAACCAGGCACTCGTTTCAGACGTGAATGATACCGACACCCTGCAAAGGTACAAAATGCTTTTACTGTATGTTCTTATGCTGCAAAATGGTCAGAAAAAATTAATTAATGTTTAAGAGAGATGCAGGAAAAAAGATAAGACAATCTGTATGTAAAGCAAGAACAAATCCTCGTCCACTACCTCTCTGAGAGGGCCGTGCAGGCTGCAGGAAGGTGGGCGAGGGACGGTTATCCTCGAGGGAAAGCTGGTTGTCTGAGTCCCAGCTGGGCAGCAGGCCGGCCACGCCCGTCCCGACTCCACAGTCCCCCTCAAAGAACCAGTCACTCTGCTCGTCATCGCCTACACGCAGGAACAGGGAAAATGTTGCATTGGATTACTGCTGAAGCCTGCATATTTCTACCCAGCGAACTTTAATAAAACTGGCTAAATAAGAATTTCCTAATTTAAATGGATGCTATAGTACAACACCTAACCCACTCGAAGCTCCACATAAGTCTGCAGCACCACCAAGCACACAGCAATTTACAGAGGTAGTACCACTGCAGCCTTCATTAAAGTGCTGAAGTCAAAAGCACCACCACTGTAAAACTGCTAGGTCCAAAAATAAAGTACTGTTGTAGGAAGTGCACTTTTAACCACAGTACTATTTGAGGATAATGTTGGAAATAGGAGGAAAATACTGGAACTTTGAACTTATATGAGTGACCACAAAACACTTCTGTTGTTTGGAGAAATTTAATTATAATTGTAAAAACAGTGATTTTTTAATCATATACTGTAGTTTCAGAGAACCTAAGACGCTGTATGTTTAGTTGTCCGAAAACATTCACTGGTGCTTCAACTGACACCCGTGTGCATCAATAATGACTAGCTCTCTTAACTACACACTACCAGACAACACCAGTCTCATCCCCAGACAACGAGCTCCTCTCAGACCTGTCAGTCAGCAAAGAACACGCAGGAACCATGCCTCTCACAGTCAAGGTGTAGTGACAACTGTTAAATCAGAGGCCGCTTGGCCCCACCACGGCTAATGAGATTAGCAAAGGCTTCAGCGCTCATTAACACGACATGACAACGTCTTATTAGAGTCGCCTGGGTGCCCAGCAACCAGCCCATTGTATCAAAACCTCCCTCTCTAGCCGCAGCATTCCCTCAGAGTGTAGCACGGTCCAAATCTGACAACTCGTTGTCTCTCTTCACATCATCAAGAATGCTTCATCTGTGAGCTCTAAATACTCAAAATCAAATCAAGTGTTTTGTGTGTGTAGTTTGAACCACACTGAGCGATGGCGCTGTTGTACTTGTACCCGTATACATTTTTTTTAATACCTTGTCTCCCCTCATCATTGGTGAACAGACCAGGGTCACTGCTGCACGTACTGCTGGTTTCCCTGCAAATAAAAGAAGAGAAAGATCACATGTGAATGATCGCCACTGACCTGTTTCTTTAATATCAATGACATTTGAGGATGAAGAACTCTGGTTTGATTTGTCATCTCAAACCTGATGGGTTCTTTAGGTCAGACAATATTATAGCATCTGAAAAGTGAACAATGTGCATCAAAAATTTACATGCCCCTGTAATGTCAATATTTAACATGTAACATTCAATAATAAAAATAATGAAGAAGTCCGGAGCTGGAGGTCGACATAAATGGAAAAAGACAGAGCGTGCTGTGTTCTCCCTTGTTGCGATAGCAAACACAAAGGCACGAGGAGAGGCTCTGATCGAAGCCACTGAGTGACATGCACAATCTAATTGAATATCCTCCGCTGTCAGCTCCAATCTAATCTGGCCTGTGTTGTGGAGGATGACAGGAGAGCGAAACACATTCCCCTGCCTACCCCTCCCTCTGGGTGTGCCCCACTCACAGAGCGACCAACAGACGTGCCGCTTCCACACAACAACTGGCCAACATCTGCTGTGTGGGCTTCCACTGCTCACTGCCTGGACCGCTCCATCGCCGCTCCTCTCCACACCCCCAGGCAACCCCTGTTTCACTGCCTCCACACACTCTGTGCCCCCCTCTGCTACCCTAGACCACCGTGGGTTTCTCTGCCTTTCTCACACCTCAGCCACCTTGAACTGGGACCTCCAGACACTCCAAGGTCATAGGGGGGGGGGGAAGAGTGTTAGGGGAGGGGTGAAGGTGATGAAGATTGAGGGACAAAAGCTCAAAAAAGGATTTCTTCTCTCTAAAAGCACTGTTATTATTTCTTACTTTAAAGAAATGGTATAGCTATATATATTTTTAGGAAGTCAAATCATTGCAATGGGTGTCACTGGGTTCCTTCATTCGTTTATTTTGAGTCATTCCCATATATGATGTACTGCCATAAATGCTCACTAATACGTGTTGAAAAGTGCCAGTGCTGTCCAGCTAATAGTCAACACGCTTTTATACTTGTATATTTGTGACCCATTATTTTATTTTTTAAAGTTTTGTAGCATCAAATGGACTTAAGAGCTGAGTGCCTCAGACAAGTTAAGGAAGTCTTAAAGTATTCATAGATAGACTAAGGCATTGTTTTAGTGACATTTGTTGACCATAAGAAACATATACAATAAAGGCCTACCCTTTAAGTAAAGCAAATTCCCATTCAAACTATTTTATGAAAGAGGGGGGAGCTGCTCTTGATTGCCTTGCATTTTGCTTCCTGTTTTTCTCTGCTGACCTTGCTTATAGGAGAAAGCTGGAGGGTCAGATATGCGCTGATACGGTGCTTTGCCATATTGCAAAGGCCTGCCAGTGATGGCAGCATCAGAAAAACGTCCATCCAGCGTGCATGTCTTCCTGGCCAGATGGTCCTGCATCATCTCCCCTCACATCCGCAAGAAGCAGATGTGAGTGGGAACAGGCCTCTCTGGGGAATCTGGAAGACGTCTGACCTAGCCGAGCGGTCCTGGACCATCCCTCCACCCCCGTCCCACCCCTTCAGCCCTCTCTCCAGACTGATTCCCCAGGCCTCTGCTCAGCTGTATCCCACCTCTGGACACATTGGCTGGCATCTGGAGCACACAACACTCCAGCATCAGTAGAGGACACAAACACAAGCTCTACAGTAACTACCATTTTGGTTTTGTGCTTCATTCTACCACCTTGCTGAGAAATTGTGAACCAGTGATGGTTAACTATTTCCAGCAGTGTGGTGTAAAAGTGTTTTCTTCTTATTGGAGGGATTTTGTGCAAAGTTTGAAAAAGAATCACAGGTATAAACAATTAATTAGAGGCACCCATTAAGTATTTATCTGTATTAAAGGTGTAATGTGATGTCGCTTGGAGCAGCACAGGGCCGATGTGAGACCGTTTCCATTAAGTACTGCCTAATTAATGCCATGAATAATTGAGACCCCCATTTTTCTTGGGACCAACAGAAACACCTCTTCTTTCTTCAGCAGTGACCTTTGTCAAGAAAAGTTGACAAACATTTTGGGCAAACTTGGGTGTTTGACTCACACACAAAATAGCACTTACCCCAGTCTAAAATAAGATATTCTATTGTGGATTAGGTGCTAAATTCAAACATTTTAAGTCTTAATTAGATTAAATGCCATATGTCCATGGTGAAACAAAGGCAAGGGCAAAAACTGCATTCCAGTGTTTTAGAGCTGAACTCCCCGCATGGCCCTATTGTCTCTATACAAGCCTAAGAGGTGAAGCAAAACACAGTATCCAGATGAGCACTAATCATTAGGATATAATCCTCAGCTCCTGGGAGAGGCAGACCAGTTTGCACAGAGATTACAGGCTAGCCACCATTTATTGAGCCTGGGCTCATTCTGCAGAGGAATAAAGAAGAGGCAGAGACAGAGGGGGGCAAAGCGCTGATAACAATGGATCTGTGGGCTCTTCAAACAAGCCGCCTCAACCCAAATCCATGCCCTCTTCCATGGGTGTCTGATTATAAGGTTATCCCACCATCCCTGAGCTGCAGTAATTGGATTAGTCTCAGAGATTTATGAAAATTAACTTCAGCAAATGCTGCACTGCTTCCCCCCCAAAAAAACTCCTCATAGAGTTTTCAAAATATAAATGACAGCATGATAAAGCTGACTGTGAGAAAAGCACACTGGCTTTGTTTTCCTGGTGGCAGGGTTGGAGTCAACATCACCAGTAGCAGCACACAGCTGGAGACAGAGGCTGAGCCCGGGACAGCGTCTACCCCACAGGTGAGGCCTGCTTGCTGTGGCCAGCCTGGGTGCCAGGTGGCCTCACTGCCAGCAGGCTGGGCCAGGTCTAATCAAGGATGTGGAGCCCAACTGGAGCTGCCAACATCTGCTCCCCTTGCACTTGGGTGGCTGAAGGCGAAGCTCTGCTCAGTATACACATAAGAGGAGTGACCTTGAGGAGAGGCATGTTTTTAAGAGACCAGACACTCCATATGAAAAAGGTTAATGGAATGAATGGAGACCAAAGAAATCTGAGTGCTTCAAAAGACAATTCAACAATGGCATCTGTGTCTGACATCAAATGGACCGTACACTCTCTGAGTATAAATATTGCTGTTGCACAACTGTCAACCCCTCATCACTGCTGCCATTTGTTCATATCCTTTGCCTCCGCTACGGCTTAACCATTAGATTGTTCAGCCCTCAGTACAGTGTGGCAGTCTACTGAGCAGCAATCAGGACCGATGGCGTTGTGTAAGTGAGAAATGATTGACAGCGTGCCATGGTGTTCCCATTTATTTCTTCTCCGGAGCTGTTTTCTGTCAGAACGGCTATTGATTTTTCCATAAAGTAAGAAAACAAGTACCGTTTAGGGGCTAGGGAGGTCAGCACAAATTAAACTAGAAGATGTAAAGCCTTCTGTCTGTCCCATTACTGGTTACCTCAAATGTCTTCTTCTCAAAAGGGAAAAAACATTGTGCAGGACGCATGGCAAGACATTGAGAATTGGACTGCTATGTTTCTGACTCTTATAATGACACACGACTGAAATGCAATGCTCACAATATCGGTCTATCAGTTGATTATATATGAAGACCATGTAAGGTATTTAATGCTAAAAATACTCAACCACTTGTAAGTATGCTTCCCTTCAAAATGTTTAGGTTTTGTTTTTGTTTGCTATGCAAAAATCCTGGTTTACTAAACAATATTCTATGATCATGATATATACCAGTAGAATTGAAACAAGTAGTCAATAAATCAATAAATCCATTGACAGGAATTTAATTTGCAACTATTAAATATCTCAATATCTATCCTACTGATTGGCACAACATGTGGTACAGATATTTATGGTGCCCAGACAATGCATCTTAATGACTTTCGTGATCCCTTAGTGCCACCAGCAGGTTGACATCTGTGG